CCGCTGCTACAGCTGCTTGCCGCGGTCAAGGAGCTCAATAGAAAGTGGGCTGACCTTTCGCGATCGATGATAGAGAAAAGATTCTCTGGCGCCACCGATCCAAGATCTCGATTTGATCGACCTTCTCGATAAGCGGCTTTCGTCAGTTGTTCAACTATTGTTTATGCATCTGGCCAGGCTGCGCTCATATATATGCTGTTCGTATAGTCACAGGACGCAGAAGCTTTTGGCTACTTGTATCTAAAAGCGTCCTCGTTCTGAGAAAATTTTCTGAAAAGCGTCTGACAAAGTGGTTTCTTCCGTATTATATATCTAATAGTAAACATACATTATAGTGTTAAGGTATATTTATAGGACATAAACTTATCCCTATACGTTTATAGGGAGGTTTACAAGTTTATGTGAGAGCAGCAGTAGCTTTTGCTGCTTTCCCTCGCGATGATATTCGCGACCGTAAGGAACGGATAATAGGAAAAAAAAGAAATAAAATTATATTGCGCTGATGTAGATACTGAATAGTTATTTGGAAGGATAAGGAGAACACTCATTTGCTAAATGGACATGCAGGCTTCGTGGCGCTTGGAAACCTATCTCTTATGGTATAACATTACGATTTTACTTTGCCGGTTTATTGCTTGCCGTAACCTCTAACTGCACTCTAAACAACCAGATAATAGAAACTGGCTTCTTTGTTTGTTAATTTTAAGGAAAAACGAATAAACAAGGGATCATTGCTTACACATGTTGGTCGCACTTCAGAAATGTTGATGAGGGTATTTTAACTGTGAATTTTATAGAGGGACAATTGTGAGTGCGTATTCCACATTTATACCTCTATACTATTATGATTGGATTCAAATTAGCGATCGTCTAAAGCCGGGTGTACCGTACGTGTCGGTTTCCTGTGTCTAGTAGGTCACTTGACAGTTACAGTTGGAGACATAACCACTAGCCAGACTCTTGGACTAGTTTAAAGCTTTCGAAACGGTGCTTCTCAATGAAGACACTTTTTGTGTATGGCACATATGCCTAATTTTGTTGATAGCTCCCTTTTTATTTTTCCTGTGTTCGTTCACCGGTCGATCGCGCTTCTGATGACGGAATCGACGAGCTGGTTGACAAGATGGATGGTCCCTGTCTTGTGGCGTGAAGGCCGGACATCACGCTCGTAAGGTCATAGCGGCGGATGTTTCTGTGAGAAAGTAAGCTTTCTTCGTCGCACTAGCAGTGGTGATACGACCTGGTGATTCGGCCAAACTGAGTCATCTGGATGCGTGTTCTTTTTTCGAGCTTTTGATCCCGTTTAGTTCGTCGTGTCAGCAATCGACATACAAAGAAAAATTGAAAATTAGAACGATTAAAAAATGAAGCAGGAAGAAATAGAGCGTACTAATTTTTGCGTCACAAACTCTCATAACTGTAGGCCTCAAGACGGTTCTTTCTTGGACAGTTGGTCACAGGCCCTAATGAAGAAGGATGATTGATGAGTTTTTTAATGATAAATTATTGATAAAGCAAGACCCTGTTGATGCTATAGAAGATCGTACGTCGACACTGTATTGTATCTAGTTCTAAAGGGTTTCGCGTACAGTCTCCATTAGTCTGTTCGGCTGTACAATCTATTTGTATAATTAACTAGGTGTTTAATAATTTTTTAGGTAGTAATTTAAATTCAGGTAGATAACGAAGAACAAATTGATGTCCATGATAACTTTTAGCCTCACTATGTTATAATGCTCTACTTCTGATAGTTGGAGAAACTGAAAATTTAAAAGGTGGTCTTTAGTCAATCTGAAGGTATAATGCTATGTTAGATACGGCGTTTTTTTGCAAAGTGGCAGAATCCATCAGCAGCCCCTTGTCTATTCAAGGGGGTTCCGCTTTGTGGAGTCTGAGAGTGTAAGGCATAATGACTCTTTGTCCGTGATTGTCGCTGAAATAGCTATAATTCAACACGAATATTAGCTAGAATTTTGGCGTTCACGGTGCAGATCTGAAGCAAATATATATATATATATAGTTAGGAAGCAGAGTGTTGTCAGAAGCGCGTTTAAAATATGAGCAAAGGAAGGCAAGCTGCTGTTTCTGTTATGACTTAAATAAATTCTCTACGGTTCTGAACTATCGTGCTGGTTAAACAAGCCACTATAGTCGCGCAGAAATAAGTTAGATAAATGCTGCTAATACTGTGTATATATCTGTGACAAACTGTCTATTTGTGAATTAACGAGGTTGATCAGCCTGAGCTGTAAAATGATCACAAAGCTGTCTTAAATAAGCCCAAAAAAAAAAGTCATGTTGGCCGGTTTGGTAAACAATGGAACGCATATGCCCGTTGTGACCCATTGTATCAAAGCAAATATTCGTGAACTCAGGCTCTTGCCTCGAAGTGGTAGCACGACAAAGTAGCAGAATGCTACTATGTTATTGCCCTGCGTTTGGATACAGTTATCTATTCTGTTTATATCGGCAGCGGCTAAGAAAGTGTTTACGCTGATATTCTCTGCAGAAACCGCAGAGGTATGCTTTTTTGTGTCAACTGTAATTCGTTTCCACTCTACCATTGACAGCTACCATTAAGTTGTCGCGTATGATGAGCAGTCGTATCGAAGAAACCTATCCGAACGCAAAAGCACGTTCGTATCATTAGCGGGTATTACAGCCATGATTATTTCTCTGCCCCAGCGCTTTGTCTCCTAACTGTCTAGGACAACAGCAATGTCCGGACAGGACGACTCAACCCGCTCACCCTAGCAGCCATCTAACGGTTGATCGTTAACGCTTTCCTGCACTTTCTATCATTTACTTTTATGCACACCCGCACACTCGATTATCGGCAATAACAGCAACAAAACTTTAAACAGTCTGGATGGCTGTACCTGATTCGTGAACGCACACATAGCACCTAGTAACGTCGACATCAGATTCAATTCAGCCTGAGCCAAAAATTACACTGCGATTAGTCCGTGTGACGAAGAGTGACGAGGATGAATGAGCCAGCTGGCCACTATGCTAGCACTAGCCGGTAACCGGCCACCATTAAGAGAATAGGACTAATGGGTAGGGACTTCGCGGAAGTGGCACAACAAACAGGAATGACTTTTTGGCCTTTTTGCTGGTTTAGTCCTGTTCCTGCTACCGTGTCAACGAGCGCCAGTAAGTTCGTGTTTAAGAACACAAAAACGAGATGATTTCGAATAGCACGGCAACAGCAAGAACTAGGTGTACGGGTCCGTTTCGAACCGAAACGCAAAAATGAGCTATGATTTGTCTCTTTTGTTCATGAATTGCGATCGGTGAACGGTACTAGAAACGTTTGGCTTGCCTTCGGGGCTTATTTGCTAGTGGGCTTATCATGTTCAAGTGGCAGGTTCTGAACAGGAAAAATGTTAACATTAAAAACGCACTGTCGACGGTTGGGGGGAAAAAGCGACCAGCGAAATAGGCATAACGAACTGAGAAAGAAGAAATGACTTCAACAATTTTGTGTCTAATAACACGACACATGGCCCACGGCAGCACGTTGGAGGTAACCTACTAAGTAATCATGACAATTGTCAGCTAAGAATAGAAACGGAATGAGCAATAAACAATAGAAAGATCAACGCGGAGAGCATAATTGTTTGCTTTTTCATTAGATAGTTTATAGAAATGAAAAACATAGTTTACATAAGAGATGTTGCAGTTTCGGTCAGTAAAATGTCTGCAGTCGGCTTTTCGTTGTTGTTAAAGTCGTGCAAACTTTAATTCCATCGTTGCTGACAGCGTTGAAAGTCCCCTGACAACTCCGTAAGACAAGAATAAAGCATTTATTTTCGCATCTACCTACAGATTGAATCCTAAAAATACGTAATAGCATTTCGTCTGCTTCGAACGACGAAACAAATACAAGCCATAAATAGAGACCCAGTTAAATTTACATTCAATTTAACTTAAATTGTTGTGCTGCTTTCCCTTTAGAAAAAAGCAAGCTCTAGCGCCTGCAAGCAACTGTACTGTGTATTCCCGAGTGCGTTAGAGCACTGACGCAACCAGGGTAAGCGTGTAAGTTGTGCCCCATGTTAGAGGTGGGCTTTCGAACGAGGATTCACTACGCATACATCTAACGAGTGTCGCCTTCGTTAGCCAGGCCATGCGGTACAGACCTATGTCAACAAGCTGAAATGAGCCGTAAAGGACAGCCTCATGCAACATGACCGCAGGTCATTCTTCGGGCTATTTGTTCCTGCGATTCGATTCGGAAGTGCGCGTAGGGAGGAAATGATCGGCTAAGAAATGCTGCAGAGCTTAAACAAGTAGCTCGATGTACAATATGCGTTACACCTGTGGAACAGCACTTGACGCCATTGTTACGTATTGTATTGATAAGGTCCTTTTTCTTGATTGTCACCTGTGGGTTCTATTGTGGGCCTTAGTTACCTGTGTGTTATGCGTACCGGGACAGGATGTTGTGGACTATACATATCGTCTCCAAATGATGATTCACTGTCCTATGTTTAGCCTCATAGACAAAAGCACTGTTGCGCGTTTGCTACGTAGCGCTTGATCGGGGCACCCGTCCGTAGATAAAAGCGATTCGTTTGTCTTAGGTTATATAGTTTCAGACTGTGGTGAATCGTTGAGGAACGCACAAGCCGTTTCAATGCAATTACCACAAGAAGGGGTCAAGTGGCTAGTCCCGGCTCCGACGTACGAAAAAATGAACACAATAGGTTATTGAAAACAGCCTTTGTGAAAGACAAGCCGAAGGTCGCGTGCTTTCATTTGCCGGGAAGACTCCAATTCGTAACTATTTAGCATAAGGAGAATTAATTTATTTAAGATCCGTTTATGAATACTGACACTATAACCTGAAATTGCATTAATTGATCATTGGCCAAACTCTTTTTATCGTGGAGGCGGCGATCGTTCGTGAGACTGTATCTCGTTATTTTTTCATCTGCCATTAGTTACTTTGATACAAAATAATCATATCCGCTTTTTTTTTTTGCTTCTTGTAGGCTACTCGCGAGGTGCGCGGCATACAATATAATGCTTGGATTTGATGCTCCTAAAGCTCTGATAAGGCCGAGAAACGTTCACGTAGAATGTTAAGCCATGGGCGATGACGTCCAGATTTTGCGAACTTCTCAGCCCTGGCGGACTAGTTGTACACGCTCACGACAATGTCACTCAATCGATTTATGAGGTACAGCTCTAGCGGAGAAAAGTGGATTGTATGCCATTTAACATCGCGAAATTTCGTCGTCTGACCCTAAGTTTACTTGTATAAGCTTGATATGTTAATGAATCTTACGAGCCTTCTATGAGGATGCAGCAGAGGCTTCAGACTCCAGTAGCATGGTCGTGGAGCAATGTGACGTGTGGGTAGCTGTGCAGTTCCGGGTTCGATCTCCAGCAAGTTGCATGCTATTGAATTTTTTACGACAGCCTTCACAGTCAGATGGTATGCGAGAATATCTTTGCAGGTCCTGTCATGAATTGGATGGCATATCGGTGTTCACGCTGTGAACATCTATTGCGGGTTGGACAATGTAATGTTTGGCTATTTCTCTGTCGTCTCATAAATAACAGTAAGTTGAACACATCGTTCAGACATAGGTAACAAAGCTATATGTACTGGATTCTGAATAGGAATTGGCCGTCGCAATAGTCAAATAGGGAACTTTTAATACGTCAAGTGTTCCTTGTTCGACTATCTATTTACCTATAGACTAGATATCTAAATAGATACTGACCTCCACGTTAGTCTGAGATAAACAGCTATGTATAAGAAACAATATGGGTCGGCCTCGCATGTACACGTAATAAAATTAAAAGCTATGAGCATGAGATAACGGGCAATGATTTAACAGAGGAGACTACCAACCGAACTAAATAAGTTACCTAAGGGATGCCCTCGCGTCTAAGGATTCCTTTATACTTCTCATCATTTGCTGAAATGGACTACGATACAGGCAACAGTGACACTTGCGGTGGAAAAAAACCCCGGAACTTCCTTACGCAAATCGAACCAAATAATGGCAGGTGCAGGGTGCTAATATCATAATCGTCCAACTTACAATGTATCAAAGCGATGACGACCGTTTTACGCTAACATGTCGTCTTCGTAAGCGCCGGCTCCGTCACTGCATTGCGAGGCGCCATTTTTTCTCGGTAATTCTACGACCGACACACGCGTTAAACACGTGGCTTTTCATAGATGTTTGCGATACGCCACCTATTGATGTTCGTATACGAAAAGTGAGACGTAGCCGATGTATCTCTATAATTGCCTACGGGGATTGTAAGCGATATTCTGGAAGTAATATAATTCAAGCGACTCATTTTATTTTTCGCGACTGAGCCACACAAGTTTTAATGAATATATCATTATGAATTAAAAGTTTAAAAGATTCGAAAAACTTGTAGATATCAAACTAAAATATCACTGATAGTTCTATCGTTTTGACAGACACAACGTAGAAAATAAACGTAGAAAAGAAAAAGAAGCAAGGGCTTTATTACAATTGGAGTCAGCTAATTTTTTCACTCATTAGACCCTCGAAAGATTCGTTTGTCGGCACTACCTTACAGTAGCCCTTAAACGTTCTTTTTCCTTCGGGCCGCCTTCTCACCGCTTCCAGTCTTATATTATATATGAAGAGTGTGTGTGTGTATGTGTGTGTGTGTGTGTGTCTGTGTGTGTGTGTGTGTGTGTGTGTGTGTGTGTGTGTGTGTGGTGTGTGTGTGTGTGTGTGTGTGTGTGTGTGTGTGTGGTATATCCGAAGTGGTAATTTTTCTAGTTTGTAATTGTCTTGTGAATCGTTACTAGAATGATTCTCTTTAAGCGACTCCAAAGATAAACGCCATATTCCACGAACGTCAAGTGATCCTGGTATGTTAAACAAATAGCACAATCTGTTGGAAACACGACTTGCCAGTTGTATATTAATAAAAGAAACAAACCTTTGCCGCAATTGTTATCCATAGATCTTAGTGAATTCTCAAAACTAGACTACTGTTACGCCACGCCATCTTTCGCTATTACTTAATGAAGCGACTCGATAGGGGCCGGCCGGCCTAAATTTTCTTCTACCACTACAATGCTATCTTCTTTTTATTTCATCTGAATATGGAATATGCAGAACTTCACGATCCTTACGATCTGTTCGTAGCATACTGAAATAGTCAGGGTTTCTGTCGGCCGTGTGAGCCGTAACGATTCCAGCATGCAAAACACGTACCTTGCAGAACAAAATTGTGCAACAGAACTTACTAACACGTTATCGTTCATATTCCTCCAGCAAAATCGTCATTTAAACCTGTTATCCAGCAATGAAGACTGACGGCTGTGAAAAATTTTCGAAGTTATGGACATTTGGCTCCTTGTAAATTTCAACCATGTGTACACTTGACCGCAACGTGTAGTCGGTTAGCCGAAATAGCAGTAGTAACAGCGGCAACAGCGAAGTATCCCGAAAGGCGAAGGAGCTAGAACAAAAGTATTAAAGAAAAAAAAAAAGCCACCAGCGTTGTTGTTTGTAACAACCTGTTTTCATATCCTTAAACAACATGAGTTTCTTTCAAGAGGGGAACCGGCTGGGCTGCTAGTTTTAAAGTGGCTGTATTTTGTAAGCATAACCGGTAGCTTTACTAAAAACAGCTAGCACTATTGCACCACATGCTGTGCGCTTAACGAATACAGGGAGAGTGCCTGATACTGCTCTTATGCTTGCCTATTTGATATTACGTAGCTAATCAGCAGTAAGGTCAAACGCAGTCGTTCCTCTCAACGGTACCTATAAGGTGGAGTGCATAAATGCAGGTCGTACTTGTCGATTTTTCTGACGACTAATGTTTTTTTTTTGTTTTTAATTACACCTGTTATCATCTTAGTAATGGATGTAAGAAAGATTCGATAACTCAGCGCGTTAGTCGTCAGTGCCTTTTGTAATTTTAGCGTTGTCCTGATAAGTGTGGCTTCCTGCTGACGGAGATTACTCAGTCAGTGGATGCCTTCTATACGTGTACAGTCTGATGCGTAATATTTCAATTGTTAGCTGATCGTTTGCACAGTTACGTGTTGGTGTGTATTATTTTGGCAATTTACGCAAGTCAAAGCGGTCCATCGATTGAGTAGCTTAACACTTAAAAGGACTATTGCTCACGTTAGTATTATATTTTGGCAATCAATGCCGTATCACGTAATTATCTTATCTCGAATATTGTCTACGTACAGAGCACCAAAGTGGCAATTAGCTAAGTCGCTACTTTAGACCTAGTGCTCTTCAGATCTATAGCAATGCCCGTGGCGCCATAATATATGCTAGATCGATTATATGATCACCTCTTGTTTAGATTTGGTCACTGCGTTACAATTGCCTACTGTTTTTTCACACAAACATAAACAAAATGCGTTCATTAGTTAGTACGTAGAGGATTCCTAGTTAGTAGAAACACTTGCCATCGACTATCGAATAGTCCAAAACCAAACGCCGACTGAGATTTTTTGCTGTTGTTGAGGCCGAAAACGGAGGACAGAATAAGTAGTATATTATACCAAAATCGTATTTCCAATTGATTTTTAATCTTTATTAAATTTACAACAAATCGATTAGATTGGTACTAACGCTGTTTGGACGGACGTTTTGTATGGTTTTAGAAATCGGCCATAGCAAAAATTGTACGGTCGAGCTACTTTCAGTTTCTAACACAGCCTATAAAATTGATGCATTTGTTTAAGTCGTCTGGTCTGAGTCGATTTCGGCGGTATCGACTTCCGCCGTTGCTAACTACAGCGACCTTCGTAGATGTGACATACTTGGTCGCGTCGTAAGTTGTAATCTATAGGCTACTCGATAAGCCTTGCCCCTTTCTTCCGACTCATTGTGGAATACGGAACTTTTACGATGCGTCAAGTCGTACTTGTTCCATTCACAGTTCGTAAGTGACTGTCCGTCTCGTACTGAAACCGGTTCGTTGAAATCGGCAGCTTTTTCAAGAAGCAATGCTATCTTCCGACAACGAAGAGCAAGTAAACTGGGTATTTCGATATAAACAGCATGAGTAAGGAAAGGTCCGAGGTATTTGATTACATATCAGGATAACTACAGGACACATGGTGTCAACATAACGTTACCTCCTTTTTGAAGGTAAAAAAAAATTTTTCTTTCTGCTTTTTGTTCTGAGGATGAATAAAGTTTTCATGCAAAGATTTGTAGTTTGATTTGGGTGCAAGATGTTTACTCTAGAGTATGTTAGGTATGAGTTCTAAGCAACGTCGCAGACTTTTCTACGGGAGTGCGCTCAGAGGACTTCTTCCATACTTCATTGTACCATTCATGATATACTTTGCCTAAGTGGAAAATTTTATTTCGGATGACCGGCAGTCAGCTACGTCGACATTTTTTCACCTCCGGTAAGCAAGGACCTTAAAGTAGTTAACAACTGCGTTGCAGGGCCATATGCTGAGTAAATTTTTTGCAAGATTTTTCAAGGTTCACGTATATATCGTATAAGGCAAAGAACAAAACATCCTCGTTAGGTGTTTTCTCAAGAAAGCCACCCAACACCAAAACGACGTTACTTAGGGGCATTTCACTAGTTTAGCTGATCGATAGCCAACAGCCGTTCGAAACAATTACTCAATCAACACTTTCACAATCAGCTTAATAATTGTTCGAGCGTTTTATTCTTATTTTACGAGGTTTTTTTATGTTATCGCCCTCACTTAGCAAGAAGCAGGAATCATTATCGCTCATTAGATTAAATTGGTCTCTCTTCGTTCGCTTTTTGCTGCCCTATTGTTTTTAGGTTCAAACGGACTAATCGAGTAAGTTACATATTGGAAGTCAAATTATAAACAAAAAAAACAAACGGGTGAATGTTTAATAGAAATATTCCCATCAGGTCCATAATGATTTCGATGTTGTATTTACAGCTCTAAATAACCAATTGAAAGTCATTTGCTCAAAAAAAAGACATCCACCGTGTCAAGTACCGCCAGGTCACCAATACATATATATATATATATCTAGATTTAACATTCAGCGTTCCCGCTGTTCCTTTCGGAAAAGGATTTTTACTCGAGGATGCTCCAGAACTTAATTACGTAATAAGTTGTTGATGTTGGTTCATCCGACTGGCACTTGGTAACTTGGACAAGATGCGACTTTCAACTAGCTGTTGCTTTAAACCAAGCTGAGA